AAAAGTCGAAAATGTTGGCCAATCCGCGCTTCTGTGCCACGAAAATGCCACGGAGGACGCGAAGAAGTCCCACAACCGTGCAGCGCGTGCGCGCATTGCGTAAAGATATTCTGAAACACCGGTACTCCACGCAGCGCGACAACCAGGGTGTCGAACCGGAACCGAACCGAACCGAAAACCGGAACAGAACCGTTATTTTTAGCCGAACCGGAACTGAACCGAACCGAAATCTTCGCCGCCATCTTGGAACTGAACCGGAACTGAACCAGAAAAAAATATAACGGTAACCGGTTCAAAACGGCTCACGGTATTTTTTTTGTTAGTATTACAAATTTATTATTATTGGCACGTGTATTCCTCTACGTATTGATCAAATCGTCATATACAGAATGGCAATGTATAATAAATCCTGGTTTTTTGCGGCGCTTTCTTATTGGCACTATGATTAGCCATGTGTCACAATGTCACGTGACGTCATGATGTCAAGACATGCTGTCAAGTAATGTCACATCACGTGACCCCGTGACGTCACGTGACTCACCGCGTTAAGTCGATTCGAATTGAGGACGTCGCTAGATCTATTAACGTTGTTGATACCGTGACGTCACATGACATCACAACTTCGCACTGAGAGTCACGTGACACCATGATGTACCCGATTGTCATGATCCCGAGTCAAATGCTCTGGTTCATGACAACCAGTATCGCCAAACATTCGGGTAACGCTCGTGTTCAACTCAAAGATTATGATGGGCCCGAGTCCCACTAGAGCTAGAAACAGAAACAAACGAAAGCGACAAGCCTCAGACACATGCAGCATGTTCGCGATGGTACCTTTATACGGCTTTGAGTTGTTCGGTGCTCGCGAAGTTAGCACGAGTGTTTACAAGCCTGCAAATGGTACCATCGTGTGCATGATACTCGTGTTTGAGCATAGCCTTCTTTATTCTACAAAGCCTGTCAAATCGCGAAATACTCTGGTTTAAGGCTAGCCGCTGTCGTTTGTTTCTGTTTGTCGCTTTAGTGGGGCTCGGGCATTATAGCCCAACTAAAATTATATCTGAAGATCAGCCCATGCTCTCTGCTTTGCCAACCCTGCGTATGACTATGATAAACACTGACGGTGTATATATTAGGATCAGATCACGTGGCTGATAGTTCTAATTGTGAGTTGAGGAGGGGAAAGCTGTTTCATTTTTTTCTTTCGACTGTCTGCCATTTCGCGGAGGGGCAAACTAATGGATGCTTTTGCAAGTTATCAACGTCAAGGATTACAACTTAGCGGTATTTATTGAACTTAAGGTAAAAAAAAAAGAAGATGCTGCACGACCCATTTTACATGTATGCACACCATTGAGGCTCCCAAACATGTTTTCGTTATTGCTGAACTGCCTCAGAAAGTTGTCCCGAGAATAGAAGTGTTAAAGGGTCTAAATGTGACGTATTAGTCGGACGTTACACGGAACTATTAGTGTGTACGGGAGGGATAGCTGAAAAGAAAGATCCTATGTGGCCTCACGGGGATAGCCGAACGTTGGCAGCCGCTCTAAGTCTCACAGGAGTGTCGCTCTCAAGTTCTCCAAGTTTCGACCGCCCTGTATTTTGTTTAACCTTCACAGTTTGGTGCAAAGTTAAAGCAAGGAAGAGTTACTGTTAACAAGTGACACAAATATAATTGTCGAGTGAACACCACTCAATAGGTTGTTTGCACATGACGTCAATTCGCCATTTTGTTGTTAGTTTGTTTTTTCAAAGAAATTTATTACATTGAAGGATTACATCGTAACCAGTTGAGATGATGTCAGCGGTGCTCTACGGATTTGAGGGGGCATGTAAATTCTTGGAATGCTCGAGTTTGGCACACGCCAGACAGCTCACAACGACAAAATGGTGGACGAAATTACGTCAGTGAAAACACCCTATACGGAGCAGGCAATCCCTGAGGAATAAAAAGTATCTTGAGGAGCAACTAAAAAAAAGGGAGTGGGGAGGGGGGTAGTTTTAAAGCATACTGTGTCGTAAAGATTCCTCTGCCCCACATTTTCGGCGCAGACTAGAAAGCGTGGCCTGGAAACGATAGTGACAGATGGGTAATTGGTACAACTTTTATTTGTAAAAACACTCTTGCCAGAAAGCGCGTTTTCGTCGTGCCAGATACTCGCGCCGTGCCTAACGACGATGTACCAACAAGAAAAATGTGTGCCTCTCAAATACATAGCTTGCACTGAGCGCGAAACTTTTGCAGCGTGCATTTTGCCAAACCGGATTTGATTTTCTCAGCAAGAACAACTCGCAATGACAACCAGTATCTAGTGCGATTACGTCACGTGCAAACCATGTTAAATACTTCAGCTTTCTGGTGAAGTGCGACGTTCGCAACACCAGCAGTAGACGTCCAATGTGTAAAGTTGTGTAGTATTTATAGTAGTCTCGCGATGATATACGGCAGCCTAGTGAAATGTTGGAGCACATGACTGATAAAGAACAGAGTCATGAAGTAAGGTCTCAAAACAAGTGCACGTAAAACCTAAGATAACATTAGCCTCCCGAGGTAGTATCCCGCGACGTTTCGAGCTGAGGCAAGCTGATGCCCAAAAGGGATTTATATTAGGATTCTAAAAAATCTTTGTTTTCCCTGCGCGGAATCTATGTTTAATTAGGAATATCATTTTATGCATTTCTATGCATTTTTTTTTTGCAGTAAAGCGTTGTGTAAGGGATTATTTAGAAAAAAATTGCGTGTCATCTCCTTATTTCTGCACATTTCGTGTATTTGCCTTCCGATATATCATGTGACCACAGTGTTTTTTGGCATGCCCTGCAACCCACTATTTTACACTGCAAAACAGCTAACAAAAGCACGTTGCCGAAGACACAACAGCTGGCGTATTTTCGAGTATCGTCCTTCCGTGTCGGTCTCAGGCGGTTATGTGAACTTCATAAAGTCAAATTTATCGATGATAATAAAAATATACTTAATTCTTGTCTGAAGATTTGGCAGCATAAATAGAAGATTCTCACCTCCAAGATATATAAGTAAATGCGCCTTTAAATTATCTGAAAGATGTTCGGCAAATATTTTTCGGCGCTTTTATCCTCTATAGACACGTTATAGGTGATTTTGAAAAGCTTTAAATCATGTTTTTTTATTAATTATTTTGAAGCTAATTTAAATAACTATATGTTTTCCTCACGCATATATAACTTCTCAAATATATAGAAGTTTATTATCGCGTTTTTTATGTGTTTTTACTATCGCCTTTTTTTACTGGAACGAATGGTGGAACTATGACGATTGCACACTTAAACTCTCAGAAAGTGTCCAATTAGGTAGCTTCCGAATTGAGTAGAGCATGAAATACCACTTTGTTCTATTTAACAAAAATCATCAATTAGCGAGGGTGATGCTTATTTGCAAATTAAATTGACCTGCATTTTGTCAAGAGCAAACCTCAACATCCAGGCTATGCCAGTTTATCCAATATAAGAAAATGTTCACATGGGTAAGCACTGTTTTAGGTCAGATTCGATCTCAGTACTAAGGTGCTCATAGGTTAGAGTGAACAATTTCAGCCACTCCTTTTCGCATGATTCGTCGCCCGCATCATGGTGCTGAGAGCAAACAATATGCTAGTTAGAAAAACAAGCATTGCGATTGTCGCTTAGTGTCCCTATAAAATATAGACTGGAAGGACTTGTCCCGTGACTTTCGTGACATTTTGAAAATTATATTCTCTTAAGCTCAGTCGTCTCGTCATCATATATATATTGTGAAACGTATTCCGTAAAACACATTTCATGATATATATTGCGACGAGGTGCCCATTTCATGATTGTATTCACTGTAATTAATTCCTTAGTTCAAGGGCAAAACCACGATTCAACATCTAATACTGCGATACAAAGTTGTACCAATCACGGGTATTTTAGGCAACCTACTTCACTTCCGAAAACATTTCGATTCAGGTACAATGTATGTGACTCTGGTAAACGAAGGGATGTTGAGTCGTATAAACACGACGTTTTGTATGTTAATGTATATTTTCCTTTCTTGTTGTGTAGGAATAAATAACAGAATTTTATAATTTTGGTACCTGAGAATAAAACTGAATTGAACAAACAATAAAAAAAAACTATATCTGTAAACGACTATTTTTTGTGGGCTCAATATTTCGCGATTTAGGTCAAAGCTGAAGTTTTGGAATAATTCGCGGGTTGTAATTTTCTCGACGCGGTGAAATCTCACTATAAATTTCAATCTGTTTACATTTTACCGAAATTGTTCGCGGGACCCATTTTTCGCGAATTGTAGGCGATTCGCGAAATTCTCAAAAATAGGTCCTCGCAAAAATCAGATCGTGTACAGCAGTTAGTTTCACGGCCTAAATAGCGCCTATTGACAGAACAACGCGGAAAATATATTCTCAATTTAGCGGTTCAAACCGGTTCGAACCGGTTCGAACCGGTTTGAACCGTTATTTTTTGCGCCCCGGAACTGAACCGGAACTGAACCGAAAGCCGTGAACCCGAACCCGAACCGAACCAATAAAAATATCGGTTCGACACTCTGGCGACAACGTCAGTCAAATGAAATGACACGCTGGAATGGCGAGTTCGCCGCACACTCAGCAAAAACTGCGCACTTTTTTTTTCATTTCTGCTCGCGGATACGGCCCTGGCTGACGACACACGACATTATATATATATATATATAAAAGCTAAGAAAGCACCTGTGTCAAGTTCAAAGGCCGCAGATAATAACTAAATAAAGTCAAAAACTGGTTACGTCTGCTGTTTCGAGCCGAGCTAAGTCTCTCGCTAGTTATTTCCACTCGCATTATGTCGCTTTTCAGTTGCCGCGCGAGCGACGTGCCGCGAAAGCGAGTAAGGCCATTTGTTGCCTCGGTCTCTCGAAGCAGGCGTGTCATGCGCGATGCCGCCGAGTCGAGAATCCGCACCGTCGTGCCAAATGGGCTCCCCCCGGGAAGAAATCAGCTTGCCTGAGACATGTCGCCATGACGGATTTCGCACCAGCCAGCCGAGGAGGCCTTGGCCGTCTTGCACACTCACCTGCGGAAAACAAAAACAAAAATGTAAGACGAAGTTTACAAGTACACACTCACGCACGAATGGCAAGGAAAAAAAAAACAATAGTATTAAAAAATAAACGAATAAATCTCGAAAGAAATGGCGGAGTATGTGACGCAATGCCCGAGCATCGTTCATTGAATCCGGTGACGTCTGCGTGCGCGCGGCGCGAGCATGTGTAACGAAGGACGACGAGAACTTTTTGTTCGTACATGAGATTTGACGGGCTCGACGAACAATTCGAACTTTCAGGGAAATTCGACGGGTTCGACGAACAATTCCGACTTTCAGCGAAATTCAACAGGCTCGACGAAGAATGTGAACTTTCAGCGAAAATCGACGGGCTCGACGAAGAATTCCAACTTTCAGCGAAAATCGACGGGTTCGACGAACAATTCCTACTTTCAGCGAAATTCGACGGGTTCGACGAACAATTCGACCTTTCAGCGACATTCGACGGGCTCGACGAACAATTCGAACTTTCAGCGAAATTCGACGGGTACGACGAACAATTGCAACTTTCAGCGAAATTCAACGGGCTCGACGAAGAATTCGAACTTTCAGCGAAAATCGACGGGCTCGACGAACAATTCGAACTTTCAGCGAAACGCGCCGAAGTTTGGCTTTATGACAGTGTTGCCCGACATCTGTGCAAAAACTTCGAATTAAAAAAAAAAAAAAAACAAGTAACTGATGAAGTGGTTCTTTCATTTTTTATTTGTTTATTATTATTACCAATGTTAACGCGACACGAAAACAAAATTTTGAGATGGGGCGCTTTTTTGAGCCACTCAAACCGAACACAATTTCGGAACACCCAGGCTTTGCCCTCTCCGGCACGCTATTCATTATCTCTGAATTCACAATCTCGATCGAGAAAACGGCATATGAAGGTGATGCCGAAACCCAAATTCATATTTTCCGGCGCTCCCCAGTGGAATGACATCACATGAATTCGTCGCGTAATGAATTTTCGAAACGGCATGCAGAGTGTACGTTCAAATATCTGTACATAATATCTACGGCTTCTCTTCGTCATGGAGTTTTACCTACACATGGGGACAATAATTCCCAAACCCATATCTGATGATCGCGATGACCCAGCAAATAACAGACTAGTTTTGTCGACTGGTACTTGCTGTGAAGTTGTCCAGCACCACATAATCTCAATAAATATTATACCCATCAAAAGTCACACAGCTAACAGAGGTAGTGCATTCTCCGGCCAGCTCGATAAATAATAGCGGACAAACGGATGTAATATTCCTGGACTTTTAAAAGCTTTTGATCGCGTCTCCCATCCCAAACTAGAGCTCAAGCTTTGTCCAATTTTTAAAAAACTAACAGTTATTAAAGTGGCACAGTGCCCCCTTATCTAAACGATTCCAATGTGTCCAAATCAATAGTAAGTCACCCCCCGCCGATCTTCCGGTCACTTCGGGCGTACCTCAGGGTTCGGCGCTTTGGCCACTTCTATTTCTCCTGTATTATTGTTTTAACCATATTTTTAGAGACATGTGGGTTCTAACTGAACTTTGTGCGGTTGATTAGGTCATTTATTCGGAGATAGCAATCCAACAGGATCGATTAAACCTTAACTGCGCCCTACAGAAGGTACAGGAATGGAGAAAGAAGGCACAGGAATGGAGAAGAATGTCCATAACCTGTGAAAAAGAAAAAAAAAACTATGAAATTTAATTACTCCGTAAACGGGAAATGCACATAAACCGTAGACCCTTATAAATAGGGACTTTCAGCAAACCGTTACCGCGTGTTCCACGTACCGCAAAAGCAGAGCCTTTGAAGCCCCGCGGGGCTCCGGTATCGCGGAACGCGGAACACGGCAACGGTTTGCTAAAAGTCCTCAACGAAACGGAGTATAGCAAACTGTAGTGGGGAAGCGTAATGACGCATATTCGAAACGCGACCCACAATTATTCCATTCTGCTCGCCCGGAGCGCTGCTCAAAACTTGAGAGCCCGAAACTCGAACCTGGTCGAACACAAGCCTGATGGAACTCAAACCTGATCAAACTCGAGCCTGGTCGGTCTGGAACCAGTCGGTGGATTCGCGACATCCGTATACACGTAAGGCCTCTATGCGATGCCGTTTTCTGAGCGACGTTCCACGCGTTTCCGGCTCGTCTCTCGATGAGCTGTGTGCTTTCGCCACCAGTCCATCTCCATATCTCCGGCGCGCGGTGAAGAACGCCGCTCATAAATAAGAGCAGAGCGGGAAGATCGACGCCTATGTCCGCGTTCACGCAGAACGACCTTTCCGGACTTCAGACGCATAACGCAGGGGCGGCGGAGCAGGTGCAACGCGTCAGCGCCCAAGTTGCTGGAGCGAGTCTATCTTGATTTAAGCGCTCGGTGCGCACACACTTTCGTGCAAATGAGACGCCACGGAATGAAAAAGTGCAGGGCGTCTTTTTCCCGGCCTTCGGCACGTGCTCGCTGCCTTCCGTCGTCCTCTGGCTCCGCAGGCTTCAAGCTCACCAGACGCCGAAATGGAATCGAGTGAAGCTTTTTGCGCTGAAGTCGAGACAACTGGGACGGCTTGCGAATCCCGGCTAAGACTGAGAAAGAAAGCACTGCCAGAGGCTGGCGCACAAGCCGAGTGGCACGCGAAGCCCAGTCTCAAGCGCTCCTGCAGCCTTCCTTATTCACACAGTCTTAGCTGAGACGCTGTTTGTATCAAGCACGGCCGTTATTTCATGCCGCACTAGTATGTCCTTGGTATATATCTCCGTGTTGCTCATTTCGTGTGTCTTCATTTATTAAGCACATTAATATTTACACTTTTAGTCTTCGGAGAAGGGGAACAAGAGGGACAAAGGACGAACACAAATCTCCAAACACAGCTAGCTAGTGACTGGTGAGCGACCGAAAAATTCTGCCTGGTCGCGCACCAGTCACCTAGCTGTGTTTGGAGATTTGTGTCTGTCCTTTGTCCCTCTTGTTCCCCTTCTCCAGGGATTATATTCACCATTCTTGTCCAGCTCACTTGCACCTTTGCATTTAATTGCAGTATAATCATAACGTTTAGTTTCACCTTTTTTTTTTTTTGTTTTTGTATCTCTTTCTTTCTCTCTCTCTTTCTTGTTATGGAGTTGCCGGAGACCTTCCTCAACGAAAGCCAACCTCTCTAAAATACACTTATACCCGGGCCACACGGGCAACTCGAATGCCATTTACAACGAATGACATTCGTGTGATCAACGAATCGGCTCGCGATCAGTCGCGCGTGGCACGCCCCAAGCTCGGAGTGTCTCGCGCTGATTGGCCGATCGTTCAGATATATTTCGTTGTATACGGCATTCGAGTTGCCCGTGTGGCACGGGTATTATTATCTCTCTCTCACTTCCCTGCCGTTCTCCTTCAGATAAGGCCCATCCTCTTGTAACGTCATCACTTTAAATTCCGGGGAGCGAATCTGCGACGAACGACCGTCGATCTTCACCGTGAGGCACGTCTGCATTGCGGGCGGCGTCACGAACCGCTGTTCTATGAAGCCTCGCGCAGAGCGAATGATGTCGCTAATAGCCGATTCACACGAGGGACCGAATCGCGATTTTCGTCCGCGGATCGTACCACGTGACCGTGACGTCACCGATTCCTGCGAACCGCGCCTCGTCCGCGGACGCGCGGACTGATAAAGTCGATGGCCTTTTCACTCGCGGATTTTTGGCGGGAGATCGATTTGAAAAGCGTTTAGTCTGACAACAAATCAAAGTATTTTTTTCTTTGCGATTAAAACAAAAATGGCGCATAGTTGTGTTTTGAGCATTCGCTGGCTCATTTTGTCGCGCGAATCTTGGTCCGAAGCGTGAAAGAAGCAGCAGAAACTTTGTCCAGCTGACGCGACGCAGGCTCCGGTATACTCCGGTATACGCAGCGATAATTCTTGGACGTCCAATCGGCTTTCCACCGAGCAAGACCTTTCTTGTGGCTGTGGTGTAAGTACTTGAGTGTTGTGCACGAGCGCGGAGTGCGTCAAGGCATCTTCATACGCACCTCCGCGAGCCTAGAACTTCGTCTGTTCTACGCCGAAGCCTTCTCGAGCAGGACCATGCCTGTGTCACTGTCATGCCTTGGGTTAGTAAAGCTATAGTGTCGCTTGGTGCGAAGCCTGTCACGGTGCTCTGTTTCGATCTGTGCGTAACAGCGGCGTACAGTACGATTCTTTATCGCTCTAGCAAACGTCGATTTCTCTCTTAAAGGAGCTATGCAACAATTTTTGTACTTTGCGCAAATACCGCTTAAAACGGATCCCTAACGTTAATGACCTACGAAACACGCGTTCGTTTTTCACCCCACGCAATAGAAGTCCCAGAAAAAAATTTAAGAAAAACGAGCAGCGTTCACCCCCTCAACTCGCAGCCAGAACAAGTGGCCACGTGATCTGGAGCCGATTATATGCCGCCAGTTTTGATCATAGCCACGCGCTGGGGTTGGCAAAGCGCAGGACACGCGCTGAGTTCCAGACATTGTTATGGCTCGGCTGTTGTCGTCGTTGCAGCGATTGGACACGGGTCACAACCCGAATGCTTCTCGAGCTATCAATTGTCACGAGCCGAAGTCGAGTGCTCACGCAATGCTCGGGTCCAATCTATGAACCGCATTCAAATATCGTCACTTGGGTGTACTGCGATCCCCGAGTTACGTCATCAAATTTTGCAAAGGAGAGATTGAATGAAAATGATCGCTTTTGTCCTTGAAATTACACCGCAACAAAGGAGTTTCTTGGCCAATGGCGTTGCGTGTGAGTATCCTTGAGTCCCAGCTGTGCCAGTAAGCTCGTGTAGAGAGAAAAACATTCCAATTGAATATCGTTGCACAGCTCCTTTAATTGGATAACGGTGCCAAGGTGCGATGTTGGAGTTTCGCGGCACTGTGGGGGTGCCGAACAGGTTCGGTTCGTCTTCGCTGGCGCCTGCTCGTCGCCTCCCTCGTGTGGATGCGCTTGTGAGACGGACGAAC